TTTTTGAGAAAGAGTCTTGCTCTGTTGCCAGGCTAGAGTGCAGTGGTGCAATCTCGGCTCACTGCAACCTCTGCCTCCTAGGTTCAAGCGATTCTGCCGCCTCAGCCTCCCGAGTAGCTGAGACCACAGACGCGTGCCACCACACCCGGCTAATTTTTGTATTTTTACTAGAGACGGGGTTTCACCAAGTTGCAGGATGGTCTCAATCTCTTGACCTCGTGATCCACCCACCTCGGTCTCCCAAAGTGCTGGGATTACAGGCGTCAGCCACTGCACCCAGCCCTTTTTTCTATTTTTAGTAGAGACAGGGTTTCGCCATGTTGGCCAGAGGCTGGTCTCTAACTCCTGACCTCAAGTGATCTGCCCGCCTTGACCTCCCAACGTGCTGGGATTACAGGGGTGACCTGCCACGCCCAGCCAGGAACTGGAACTTTATCCTGATTTACAAATCATAGTTTCGGAAGGATTTTGGAATTTACAATTCCCTTGGTGCCCTGGGATGTGATGGGGGCTGAATTTGAGGAGCTGAAATTTGAAGGTGGCTCAGCAGCAGCAGTTGCAGGCCTAAGGGCACAGATGCAGCGATTAGGCAAATCTGTAGAAGACCAGCTGTATCAGTGTGGTGGGGATGCGGTGAGGGAGAGGCAGAATCACAGCAATTGCCTAACAAATGTCTGATGACAGGATGGTTCCGGCCGGGCGCGGTGGCTCACGCCTGTAATTCCAGCACCTTGGGAGGCCGAGGCCGGCAGTTCATGAGGCCAGGAGATCAAGGCCATCCTGGCTAACACACTGAAACCCCACCTCTACTAAAAACACAAAAAATTAGCCGGGCATGGTGGCGAGCGCCTGTAGTCCCAGCTACTCGGGAGGCTGAGGCAGGAGAATCGCTTGAACCCAGGAGGCGGAGGTTGCAGTGAGCCGAGATCGTGCCAATGCACTCCAGCCTGGACCACAGAGCAAGACTGTCTTAAAAAAAGAGAAAGGATGGTTCTCAGCAGGGCACTGTGAGTCATGCCTGTAATCCCCGAACTTTGGGAGGCCCAGGTGGGAGGATCACTTGAGCCCAGGACTTTGAGATCAGCCTGGGCAACAAGGCAGGACCCTATCTCTACAAAAAATACAAAAATCAGCCAGGCGCGGTAGCACGCACCTGTGGTTCCAGCTATCCAGCTACTTGGAAGGCTGAGGCAGGAGGATCGCCTAAGCCCAGAAGGTGGAGGCTGCAGTGAGCTATGATCACACCACCACACTCCAGCGTCTAGGTGCCTGAGATCCTTTCTCAAAAAAAGAAGAAAAAAGATGGTTCTTGGCATCTAACTTCATTAGATAGTAGCATGGTCATCTGAGTGAAGATGGGGAGGACGGTAGTTCTGCAGGATATTTGAGGGATGGCTGAGCCCTGGAGGGCCCTCAGGCTGCTCAAAGAGGAGGGGAGGGTGAAGGAAGAGATTTGCCAGGTGGCAGTCGAAACCTTGTGGGTGGGAAAGATTCCACAGGTTGGGGAACCGGATAGGTTACCAGCTGGAGCCGCTCCCCACCCCCACCCCCTTCCCTGGCAGGCTGAAGGCACCAATCCTTGTCTGGGGGAGGTTGCCCTTGCCAGGTAGCCAGGGCGGGTTCTAGGCGGTAGGGGGCACACTCGGACTGGGGCAGGTGAAGCAGGAGACGTCTGGGGCTCCCACAGCCCTGGGGTGGTGGTGGGGTTTTGTTTTATTATATATATATTTTTGTAGAGATGGGGGGTCTCGCCATGCTGCCCAGGCGGGTATGGAACTCCTGGCCCCCAAGCGGTAGGTCTGGGGTGCTAAGCCAGCCCCCCCGGGCGGGCCAGGGAGACAAAGCCGATTCTGGGGCAGTCAGAGGGTTTTCCAGGTCGGGGTAGTGCCTCCGATTCGGGGGTCGAAGACGGGCAGCTGAGCTTTTGGTACCCGGCCTTATCAGACTGGGACCCGGAGCCCCTTCGACACCGCGCGGACTTGTTCCTGACGCATCGCCCCGCGGAGAGGGCCTCACCTGAAAGGGACCGGGAACGGGGTGAAGGTGGGGAGTGGGGCTCAGGGCAGCAAGTGGCAACGCGGGCAGGGAGCATCCAGATGACGGGTGCGGGAGGAGGGTCCCCGGGGGACTGAGCAGTGCGTGAACAGGGGCGGAGAAGGCTCCGTCTGATGGGGGGCCTCGGGAGATCCCAAACAGAACAGGACAGACAAGAGGGTCCTCGGGAGGCCCCAAATCGTAGGACGGGACAGACAAGGGGGTCCTCGGGAGACCCCAAACCGTAGGACAGACAAGGGGGTCCTCAGAAGACCCCAAATCCTAGGACGGGACAGACAAGCCCCAAATTCCCTCGCACATTTCCAGGGTCAATTTCCAGGGACTGGGCAGACGGCGCCCGGGAGGAGAAGGGGTCGTGAACCGGCAGGAGGCGCCACGCCTGGACCGCGTCCGGGATCCCAGAACCCGAGTGCGCCAGGACGGGAACCACCAGGCGGGAGCGCGAGGAGCCAAGATCCGAAGCCCGAGGCCGCGGGGACGGCAGCCCCGCGCGGGGAACAGCGGGAGGACCGGAGAGCTGAACGGCCGCGCGGAGCCCGCGCATCTGGGCGTGGTGACCGAGGCGGCCGCAGGAGAGCCCGGCCGGGGGCCTCAGGGTCTCGTGGGGGTCCGCGGGGCGCCGGGACGCGGAGCGGAAGCCGCAGCCTCGCAGAGTCAGGGCGCTGGGGAGGCACCGGGGCGATGTCGTGGGGCTCCGCCGTGCTGGGATTCGGGGTGAAGGCGGCAGAGCCCAGGCCCGGCCCGCAACGCCGCGGCCCCCCCGGCTCCTCATCTCTCTTGTTTGTCTCCGAGTCCGGCCGGAACCGGCTTCTGCTCACGGCGGGGCGGGCGGGTGGCTGGCTCCTGATTGGTCGACGCCTGTTTCCAGCCCCCGCTCAGCCAATCAGCGGGCGACAGTGTTTTCATCTCGGGTCGGAATAAAAGGGCTGGAATAAAAGAGGGCAGAAAAGGCGCCGGGCGGGCCCGACACGCGCGGAGCTGCCGGGGAGCGGGATCGGGGAGCGAGGCCGGCGAGGGCGCGCGGGCAGCTGCGGCACCGAAGCGGCGCGGGGAGCAAACGACGGAACCCGAGGAACCGAACGGAGCGGTGAGGGGCCGCCTCCGGGGAGACCATGAGAAGCGGAGGGCCGGAGATGGAGGCCGGCGGTCCGCTGCCATGGAAACGGGCGAGGCGCCGGGAAACGCCCGGGCTGGGGGTCTCGCGCCGCCGGTTTGAACCGGCTCCTGGTCTTACACGCCGGGTTCGCGTGGCCGCAGCGCCTAGCGACCTAGACGGCGGCCAATGGCACGGCAGTTCCTGCGCCGTCTGGCCAATCAGCGCGGCGGGGCGGGCCGTTCTGGAGCTCGGTGCGCTGATCTTGTGGTTGACGAAACCGGCTTCGGGGAAGGGTCTCGGGTGCGGGCGGGAGGGCGCCCGTCAGGGCCCCTGGGAGTGGCCGCCCTCGGGCATCCCCCGGCCCAGGTGGTCGCGCCCCGCGCCGCTGTCCAGCCCGGCCTCAAGCCGTGTCAGTCCTGCGGGGGGCCAGGGCCAGGTCCACGGCCCTGAGCATGCGTGGGTCCCTTCGTGCCTCCATGCCTCGGTTTACCTCGGAGTGAGACACCTCCCTGCCTGGCCGGGGCGGCTCGGTCGGCGCGGAGGGCGGCGGTGCGGGCTGGCCGCGCGTCGGGTGGCCCAGGGCCGGGCAGGGCTGGGGCTCGCCTCGCTGACCTCTTTCGCTGCGCGCTCCGGCCACCGCAGCCACGGAGGGGTGACGAGCCCCGCGCCCTGCGGCAGCGGCCGGGGCGGCGGCAGAGGCTGGGCAGGGCCGGCCGCTGACGCCGAGGTCTGTGCGCAGGTGGTGCAGAGCCGGAGCCCGAGCCGCGCCGCGCCATGGCGCCCACCCTGGCCACTGCCCATCGGCGCCGCTGGTGGATGGCCTGCACGGCCGTGCTGGAAAACCTCCTCTTCTCGGCAGTCCTCCTGGGCTGGGGCTCACTGCTCATCATGCTCAAGTCGGAAGGCTTTTACTCCTACCTGTGTGCCGAGCCAGGTGAGACAGGCGCCTGGGGCTGCGGGGGGCTCCCGGAGTCGGGGCTCTGGGTGGGGGCGGGAGGGGGCGAAGACCTACGAGCAGCACCTCACTCATCGCCCAGCGCCTCTCGGGCATCTAAAGGCCCACTGGACCCTCACCCGGCTCTGCCGGGTACTTATCATCGCCCCGTTTCGTGGGCAAAGACATGGAGGCTCAGAGCCATCTTCGGTCTTGGGCAAGGCCACAGAGCCACAGCTGCTGTCCAGGGTGTTCCTTCCACCCCAGGAGCGTTGCTGGGCTCCCCTCCTCTCCTCCCTGCGCCTGGAACGCGGCTTGCCTTGTAGTAAACATGTTGCTCTTGGATGGTGAGAAAGAGGAACTCCTGGATTAGGGGCTGGGGTGCAGCAGGAGAGGAAGTGGCCTTGCCTCCGCCCCAGGCAGGGCTCATCTAGAATCTAGACGTTTCTTAGGTGGTTGCGGAGTCTCCCAAAGTGCTTGCTGGACACAGTCTCTCGTCTATTTTTGCCGACTTATGATTCTCCAAAGGACGTTCCCTCCCACGGGCTGTGAGGACATCTCCGTGGCTTCCCAGCCCCGTGGGGATGGAGGGGAAGAGAACGTTGGAGATAGTACGGCCTGCTCTCTTCTTGCTGAAGGCAGGCCGGGCACGCTTGTGTGCATGACATCCGCACCACCCAGCACACACGCGCACCTTCACACCTTCACGTCCTGTGGGAGGACCCCGGTTACTACAGGGGCAGTAGGCCCAGCCCCACAGGAGGGCTCCAGCAGCCCAGCCTCTGGCCTCCTACCCTCCTCCTTAGGCGAAGGTAACAGGAAATGCTTCCTTCTGCGCTCTCCTTGATCCCAATGGTAGCTGCATAACAGCTGAACTCACATTACCTCTCTCCCCAGGGCCAGAGGGCCGTTAGGTGCAGGTAGCCCAGGACTGACTTCCTGAGTCCCCACCAGCAGGCCTTTTCCTTCTAGAGCTCTTTGCAGGAAGAGAAGGCTTCACGCCAGCTCATGCTGGGTCTCATCCTTTGTGGAAGCCTCTGTTTCCTCTCTCGGATCTGCCCGGAGTCCCGTGTGTCCCAGTCTCTAGGGAGGGAGGCTTCGCTGGAGAGGTTCGAGCAGGAGAAAGTGGGGAACGCAGAGGCCTCGTGGAGTGGACAGAAAGTGTATCATTTGTAACTAACCTTTAGCCTTTAGCCACTCAAAAATATTTCCTAACAGCCTAAGGGTTCTTGGCAGACCTTTCTCCACATCAGCAAGAAATCTTAGGGGTTGGGAAGGGTCAGACCTTGTTCCCTGAGCAAGCTTTCTGCTTTGCCCAAGAGATATTAGGAGATTAATTTCTCTCCTGGGCACAGGTGGGAGTGTTTGCTTCGTCCTCTCCTCTCTTCTTTATAGATCATGACTCTTCCTGCTTGCCATTTTTTTTTTTAAAGCAGGCCGGGTACAGTGGCTCACACCTGTAATCCCAGCACTTTGGGAGGCTGAGATAAGCGGATCACAAGGTCAGGAGTTCAAGACCAGCCTGACCAATATGGTGAAGACCCTATCTCTACTAAAAATACAAAAATTTAGCTGGGCATGGTGGCATGTGCCTGTAATCCCAGCTACTCAGGAGGCTGAGGCAAGATAATCACTTGAACCCAGGAGGCAGAGGTTGCAATGAGCTAAGATCACACCACTGCACTCCAGCCTGGGTGACAGAGCAAGACTTCATCTCAAAAAAAAAAAGGCAGAAAAAAAAAATCATCCCCAAAGAAAGCTCTTGGTGTCTCATCCAGACCAGAGGACTGTTGTGGGTAGAGTTTTGTTTTCCTTTGGACCTGCCATGGTGTCGGGAAGGTCATATCTAGATGGTTTTTTTTTTTTTCATAGATTGTCCACTGATTTAACTTACTGTATGGTTTTGGCAGAATTCCAAATTCCTTCATTCCTGCCTCAACCTCGGCCTCTTCCTCTAAGAAAGGAACCTCAGCTTCTTCCCCACGGTCTCTGTTGTGCCAGTGAGGTGCTGAGTCGGTGGTTAAGCCCGGGGAGACTTGACAGATTGCTCCTCTAAACCGATGTGAAGGTGAAGGGTCAGGACTGTGGGTTGAACATCAACCTCTTATCCTGGGCGTTTGTTCCTGCCTCTGATTTTGTTTTTTTCTGACGATCTGGCAAACCCGCTGAGCCCCCGTCCCGGGCAGGAAGGCTGCTGAGTCCACACAGCTTATCTCTGTGGCCTCGCTGCTCCTTGATTCTTGGAGTCGGCATCACCAGTTCTCTTTCAGGCCAGAAATCCCCACACGTTGCCTGTCTGGGAGTGCCTGGCAAAGTCAGGGTGAAGGTTTCTGCCTGGGTCTGACATTTTCAAACTTGGCGGATGCCTGGATTGCAGAGAAGCACTCAGGCCATTTTTCGAATTTATTGAATTAGGCTTGTGAAAGGCTGAGTAGTCCCAGGCTGTCCCCAGCTGATTGAGATGCAAATTGGTCAGCTTTGTGTGGCTCTCAGACGAAGCCTTTTGTTCTCTGAAGAAAATTCGCCTGAACCTGTTGAACGGTTCTTAGAACTCTTTCTCAGGACTCCAGCCAGAATCTGGCCACAGGCGCGGTGTTGGCTCCAACGTGGGGCAGTGGCAGAAGGAAGGAGACAGCTTATTTCTCTGCTGCCCTCCGTTTCTTCTCCCTTGCCCACTGGGAGAGGTGACAGGTGGGGTCTGCGGACCTGGGCACGGGCCATTGACCACGGGCTTTGCACGACATCCACCAGGTGCTGGTGCTGGGCGCCTCCCTAGGCCCCTGGCGAGGGCGGGAGACCTACTGGGTTCTCAGCCCCAGAAGCGGGGGCTTTCCCAGAGCTGTGTCCTTTTGGCCTCTGGGATGGCGCCGTGACCGGCCACCCCCGAGCCCTTCCCTCCTTTCGTCTGTGGTCCAGTGGCCCACTTCAGCGGGGTCAGGGTGGGCTTGTGGGGCTGCGGCTACCTGTGGATGGTTTCTTTTTGAGACAGGGTCTCATTCTGTTGCCCAGGCTGGAATGTGTGGTGCAGTCACAGCTCACTGCGGCCTTGACTCCTGGGCTCAAGCGATCCTCCCCCTCAGCTCCTGAGTAATGGGACTACAAGTGGGCACCACCACCAACCCAGCTGATTTTTTTTTTTTTATACTTTTTTTTTTTTTCTTTTAAGACGGGGTTTCACGGTGTTGGTCAGGCTGGTCTCGAACTCCCAACCTCAGGTGTGATCCGCCCGCCTTGGCCTCCAAAGTGCTTGGATTACAGGTGTGAGCCACCAGGCCTGGCCTCGGGCCAATTTTTGAATTTTTTTTTTTTTTTTTTGCAGAGACAGGGTCTCACCATCTTGCCCAGGCTGGTCTCAAACTCCTGGGCTCAAGCAGTCCTCCCGCCTCAGCTGCCCAAAGTGCTGGGCCTATGGGCATGAGCTCCTATGCCCAGTTAGGTTTAATTTTGTTTTTTTGAGACAGAGTCTCACTCTGTTGCCCAGACTTCAGTGCAATGGCGTGATCTCAGCTCACTGCAACCTCTGCTTCTCAGGTTCAAGCAATTCTCCTGCCTCAGTCTCCCGAGAAGCTGGGATTACAGGCACCCACCACCACGCCCGGCTAATTTTTGTCTTTTTTAGTAGAGACAGGGTTTTACCATATTGGTCAGACTGATCTTGAACTCCTGACCTCAGGTGATCCACCCGCCTTGGCCTCCCAAAGTGCTGGGATTACAGGCGTGAGCCACCGAGCCCGATCAAATTTTTTGTAGAGATAGGGGTTTCACCATGTTGGTCAGGCTGGTCTCCAGCTCCTGGGCTCAAGTGATCCTCTGGCCTCAGCCTCTGAAAGTGCTGGGACTACAGGTGCAAGCCACCATATCCTGTTAATTTTTAAATGTTTTGTAGAGATAGGGGGTTTCACCATGTTGCCCAGGCTGGTCTTCAACTCCTGGCTCAGTCGATCTGCCCTCCTCGGGCTCCCAGATGCTGGGATTACAGGTGTGAGCCACTGCTGCTGGCCTGTGTGGATATTGAATCCCCTCTTTCTTGTAACCTAAATATTCAGTAAAGATTGACGAAGGTGCCGTGCTGGGGGTGCAGAGCAAACACATCATCACACGCACACCTGTGTAATTCCAGGTGGTGGTCGGGCCCCAAGAAAGCAGGGTGCCGGGAGCTGGAACAGCAGCAGGGATCTGGCTCCCCCGGTGGGAGGGCTTCTCTGTGTTCAGGTGGAAGCCTGGAGGTTAAGGAGGGGTGAGTCAGGAGAGGAGGGTCCACCCTGGAGAAGGGAGAGATGTGGGAAGGGGTTGGGCCTGCGAGGCCTGAGAGGCCTTCTGGGGAAACCGGATTTTATTCCCAAGGCCGGAGGAAGCCGGGGAGGTGGAGGAGGGCGATGGTCCAGTTCCCCTGTTAGAGGCTCAAGTGAATTGCTGACGGCTTGCCACATGCTGGGGTGTGGATGTTGTAGAAAGCAGAAGTCATCAAGCCCCTGCCCGAGGAAGGCACTCACGGTCTGACCATGGCCGTGAAGGAAGGCCGTAGTTGTATGCTCTTTATCGCTGGGAGAGAGCCTGGCGCAGGGGTCCCTGTGAGGGCAGAGGGGCTGCCACCCGCACTGGGGACACAGGGCCACGCTTGGTCCCCATGGGCTGAGTGAAGCTGTGGATATTGACAGGAGACTTCTCTGCTGGTTCGAGGACCTCTTTATTTTTTTGGCCAGCAGGGAGACGGTTTCACTCTTGTCACCCAGACTGGAGTGCAGTGGCATGATCTCGGCTTACTGTAACCTCTGCCTCCCAGGTTCAAGTGATTTTCCTACCTCAGCCTCCCAAGTAGCTGGGATTACAGG